GCAAATACTTATATATTCACCCCATCTGCCTTTCCCACACCACCGGGAACTCAGGACTCTCCTTTTTTTTTTTTTGGAGAGGTTTTTTGCTATAGGGCACGTGCGCTTGCCAGAAAGACAGAGACAGAAGCGAGAAATCACCCCCCGGGGGGATGGTCATGCCATTCTCCTCTCGGAATCTTGAGCACACGCACACACATGCGCCCGGCGTGAGTTTAAGCCACCAGGTACAGGACTCGAACCACGGTCAATTACATGGGAATTCAGTGACATAGCCATTACGCTAACTGCTGTTCCCAGGACTCTTTCATTGTTGCCGTTTTTAGGGACAGTGTCTATATTACCCAGCCTGGCCTCCAAGGTGTGGTTGGTCCTTCAGCTTCTTGAGCAGCTGGAATTACAATCCTGTGCCACCATGCCTGGCTTGGGACCCAGGCATCCTGCACCCAGCCCGCTTCAGGGCTCCCCTGCCACTAGTGACGTATAAGAGCACAAGTCTAGAGCAGGCTCTTACTGGACTCTTGTCCCTTTTTCAGACATCTTTTTTTTATTGGAGAGTTTTTTGCTATAGGGTGTGTGCGCTTGTCAGAATGACAGACAGAGAGAGACAGAGAGACAGAAAGCGAGAAATCACCCCCCAGGGGTATGGCCACGCCGCAATCCCTTCTCCTCCATTCTCCTCTCAGGATCTTGGGCATGCACGCACACGTGCCCAGCGTGAGTTTAAGGCTCCGGGTCCAGGATTCGAACTGCAGTTGACTACCTGGGAGTCCAGCAACATAGCCATTACACCAACTGCTGGTCCCCCTCAGGCATCTTTCTGCTTAGAGTGTGGTCCGTGGTTCACCAGATAGTTAGAACACAGGGGGCAAGCTGGTGGTGTGGTGGTTAAGGTGCCAAATCCCACACGGCCGACTGCGTGGTTTGAGTCCTGGACCTAGCAGCTTGAAAACATTCTGAGTATGTGTGTGTGTCTGCCCAAAATCCTAAGAAGAAAACAAAGAAGAGTGAACTGTACCATGGCCATTCCCCCTAGGGGGTTGACTCTCTCTCTTCCTCTGGTGAGTACATGCACTCTAGCAAATTTGAAAAAAAAAAAAGAAAAAAAGAAACAATCTCAAACAATCTCAGCCCTGTCCATTCCTTTCCTCACATCCATTAAGTCAGAATCTGCTTTACAGACATCTTTTGTTGAGCCAGCAGGTGGCATGGTGCTGGACTCCTAGGTGGCTAACCACAGTTCAAATCCCGGACCCAGCAGCTTGCTTTCTCACTTTCTCTCTTTCTCTCTCACTCTGTCCCTCTCTAGTCAAATTAAAATACATCAATAAAGTTAAATAAAATATTTCTAAAAAAAAAAAGAGAAAGAGAGAGAGAGAGATCCTATGATGTGGGCAGATTAGAGTTTGAGAATCGCTGATCTTGGAAACCTTGGCAAGTCGGCCTAATTCTTGGAGCCTCAGTTTCCTCATTGTGGAGTGGGGACATCATAGAACCTACCTGCAGGATCTGTGAGGACTTAGAGACAGCACGCTAGGCCATTCATGCAGTGCCTGCACTTTGAACCTTCAGGGCAGGCCCTGATGCCCACTCCTGCCCCACAGCCGGATGTCTGGGAGTGCAGATTTGGCAATAGGGGTCAAGGACTCCAATCCCGAAGCTGGTAAAGGTGGAGGGGGAGGTGAGGGGGAGATGAGGGGAAGCAGAACGGGGGAGAAAACGGTGAGCAATTGAGGGGCCACAGGTTTGGGGACCAGAGTAAGGGAGGTGCAGAGGAGTAGAGTGGAAGGGAAGGAAGATCAGGGGAAAGAAAGGGAACCGGCCTAGGGACACTTTCTCATCTCATTTTACTTGAATGGGGGTCTAGGGTCTGGCCTGTGGGCTCTGGGTCTTTTTTTTTTTTTTTGAGAGGTTTTTCGTTATAGGACGTATGCGCTCGCCAGACAGAGAGAGACAGAGAGACAGCGAGAAATCACCC